TATCCCCCTGAGTAGAGTGCCATGGCATCACAGCTCACAGCAACCTCCAACTCCTGGGCTCAAGCGAATCTCCTGCCTCCCCCTCCCAAGTGGCTGGGACTACAGGCGCCCGCCACAACGCCTGGTCATTTTTTGGTTGCAGCCATCATTGTTGTTTGGCGGGCCGGGCTGGGGATTCGAACCGGCCACCTTAGGTGTATGTGGCTGGCGCCTTAGCCGTTTGAGCCCCCTCCTCTCCTTTTTATTTCACTCTAATATGGGTCTTTCTTCCCAGCCTGAGGAAGAGACACGACTAAGGTTCATTTTTCTAAAATAAATAGAGGAAGTATGACATAAAAGGAACTGTGTCCTTCAACCGCATTGCTCTAATTGCTTTTTAATTCCTGATTCCCCAAAACGTCTTCCTAACATTTCTGTCCAGGCTCCTCTTGCTTTCAGGCTTTATTAGTGATACATTGTGTCCCATGTTTACCAGCCTGCCCAAAGAGCTACTTTTAAATCTAACCTTCATCTCTTAGGCAGCAGCTTTTGTCCATTTCCTCTCATTCAAGTAAGAACAATACCCATCCCTGTCTCCCTGCACCCTCTATCCTGTGCTCTGTATTTGTTCCTTAGATTCAGACAAGAGCTTCCCCCTTTGGAGCCCTTGAAGAAGTAGGATAGCTATCACTCTTCCTCATAAAGTAACCAAAGGAAACATAAGGCAAGTTGCAAGTGAATCTGGGAATCAGTTCCCTGGCTAAGCCAATCCCGGCCCATCCCCAAGAACCTGCTCAAGCCTTTCGCCGGGGTGAGGTCTAAGGTTCTGAGCGCGGGGTGACTACAACCCCCAGCCAGTTTGAGGCCCCGCCCCCCGCCCCTAAGCTCCGCCCCTTCATTTCTCCATTGGCCTTCGAGGTGGAGATTAGATGGGAGGTGGCTATGGGGCTGTAGCCGGTTTGTCTCCTTCTCGGCTTCCGTAGAGGAAGTCGCGCGGACCTTCGTCTGGGGTTTCAGTGCTCCCCCTCCCCTTCCCCGGGGTCCGGGTGACATTGCACCGCGCCCCTTGTGGGGTCGCGTTGCCACCCTACGCGGACGCCCAGCTGGCGTGCCCCTCCCATTCGCTCCTACCCCGCTCCCAGCTGCCCAGCCATGGGGGCTGCGGTGTTTTTCGGATGCACATTCGTGGCGTTCGGCCCGGCCTTCGCGCTTTTCTTAATCACTGTGGCTGGGGACCCGCTTCGTGTTATCATCCTGGTTGCGGGGTGAGTTGGAGGTCGGAGAGAGCGCGTCAACAGAGGGATGCGGAAGGGCTGGAGGAACTGGGCGAGTCTGGGAGTCTGAGTTGGGGAAGATAAGTCGTAGGTGAAGGTTTGACGCGGGTAGGGGAGTCTGGGTGATTTACCCTTTCCCGCAGTTGGTTTCCGCTTTCCAGGGATCGCACAGATTCCTTCTATATTTCTCCCAAGAGACATCAGAGGAGGTCGAAGGCCAAGACTCCTGAGGGGGCCGTGCAGCCCTCGGCTGGTCGAGTCAGACGTCCTAAGGGAGAATCCAGGAATGGATACCTCGCCCTTCTGTGCTCCAACACCGACTCGTATCGCTCCGAATACTTTTTAATCAGATTTCTACCCTTTCTCCTGCGTCCAGATCTCTACAGATGAGTCCTTTGATGGAGGCACCTACCCTGTCCGGTCCTGGTATCCCTAACCATCGGAAGTCTAACTTCTACATTTTGTGCTGCAGAACTGGATAGTTCCCCTCGATTTTTTGGCTGCCCCTACCATTGCTTATCTCACTGCCCTTGTCTTTTCTCAGGGCCTTTTTCTGGCTGGTCTCCCTGCTCTTGGCCTCTGTGGTCTGGTTCATCTTGGTCCATGTGACCGACCGGTCAGATGCCCGGCTCCAGTATGGTCTCCTGATTTTTGGTGCTGCAGTCTCTGTCCTTCTACAGGAGGTGTTCCGCTTTGCCTACTACAAGCTGCTTAAGTAAGAAGATGAGGCGGTTTGAGGGGGAGAGGGGCTGAAAATTGCATTATGGGAAGTGGTGGTTTGGAAGAGGAGGCACTAAGGGAGGACGTTAGAGGGAAAGGAGCATCCCTGCCCTCTCTCATGTTTACCTTACCCCATCCCACCCCAGGAAGGCAGATGAGGGGTTAGCATCGCTGAGTGAGGACGGAAGATCACCCATCTCCATCCGCCAGATGGCCTATGGTGAGCCAAGGGAGAGGGACTGGAGGAGGGAGTTGGACAGCCCCCTCACCTAAGGAAGTCTAAACATCCACACATTCTAAGTGGCTTCTTGTTTTCCTTCATACCTGACTTCCAAGCAAAGGTGGTCTGGAGGGAGAATAGTTGTGGAAGAATTGTGACTGGGAATGGGGAAGGGTCACTGTTAAACAGGCCATAGTGATCTCTTGACATTGATGAGACCCTCCCTCCCTCCAGTTTCTGGTCTCTCCTTCGGTATCATCAGTGGTGTCTTCTCTGTTATCAATATTTTGGCCGATGCACTTGGGCCAGGTGTGGTTGGGATCCATGGAGACTCACCCTATTACTTCCTAACTTCAGGTAAGATCCACTTCCTATCTTGTCTTCATGCCCCATTTATTCCTGGCCCTGATGTGATTTATTGGCCTTCCCTGGAAGATTTCTTTTGCTCAACATCTCAGGAGGCTGGGAGAAGATCAAGGATGTATTTTATCCCCATCTCCATTCTTGCAGCCTTTCTGACAGCAGCCATTATCCTGCTCCATACCTTTTGGGGAGTTGTGTTCTTTGATGCCTGTGAGAGGAGACGGTACTGGGCCTTGGGCCTGGTGGTTGGGAGTCACCTACTGACATCAGGACTGGTGAGTTGGAATCAGGGCCTGAGTTAGGTGAGAAAGCATTTAATGGTGAATGGGATATGGGGGAAAGTAGATCCTCACTTAAAATTTTAAACTTAACTTGATGAGTCTTTAGAAGTCTCTCACTTCAGTATCAGTTGTATCACCTGCTCTGGGGAGGAGTTTGAATGGATTAGCTAAACTATAATGCACTTCCGTGAACAGGAGTGGCAGAAACCGTTGAGGGAGCTGAAAACCAAAAGTCCCCTTAAACACAGGATGGTTGGTGCTTTAAAGGGAAAGACTGGAAATTTGAGAGTGATATCTGGGATAGACACAAAAAATATATGGGGATTAGGTGAGTGTGTGTGTGGGGAAATCTAATCTCTTTTCTACTTTTACCCTCATTCCTAGACATTCCTAAACCCCTGGTATGAGGCCAGCTTGCTGCCCATCTATGCAGTCACTGTTTCCATGGGGCTCTGGGCCTTCATCACATCTGGAGGGTCCCTCCGAAGTATCCAGCGCAGCCTCTCGTGTAAGGACTGACTACCTGGACAGATCGCCTGACAGATCCCACCTGCTTGTCCACTGTCCATGACTGAGCCCAGCCCCAGCCCAGGTCCATTGCCCACATTCTCCGTCTCCTCATCAGTCTGTCCCACCACCTTCAGGGTTCTGCTTTGTCCATTAGTCTTTAGTCTCTAAGCTTTACCAGGAGCAGTTTGGGTTCAGCCAGTCAGTGACTGGTGGGTTTGAATCTATACTTATCCCCACCATCTGGGGACCCCCTTGTTGTCCAGGACTCCCCCTGTGTCAGTGCTCTGCTCTCACCCTGCCCAAGACTCACCCCACTTCCCCTCTGCAGGCCGACGGCAGGAGGACAGTCAGGTGATGGTGTATTCTGCCCTGCGCATCCCACCCGAGGACTGAGGGAACCTGGGGGGGACCCCTGGGCCTGGGGTGCCTTCCTGATCTCCTCACCCTGTATTGCGCCATCTCCAGTTCTGGACAATGCAGGCTGCCAAGAAAAGGGACCTAGTTTAGCCATTGCCCTGGAGATGAAATTAATGGAGGCTCAAGGGTAGATGAGCTTTGAGTTTCCCAGTACTCCGTCCCCAGACTTGATATCTTGGTCTTTTTCTCAGGTTAGAGGAGAACCATTTATGGTGTGATAAAGACCCCGAACTGCCTTTTTTTTCCTTTTTTGCATGAGGGGAGGGAGGAGGTTGTTGGAACTCTTCTAACCTCTTTGGGCTGTATTTTCTCTCCTCGAATTGCACCTCATGACTGGGTTCATTTCTATCCATTTCCCCTTGGTCCCAGGGCCCAGGGAGAAAGGAAGGAAGTGCATGTTTGGGAACTGGTATTACTGGAACTAATAGTTTTAACCTCCTTGACCACCAGCATTCCTCCTCTCCCCAAGGTGAAGTGGAGGGTGCTGCTGTGAATTGGCCTACTCCAGAGCTAAGTGCCACTGGAGGAGTCAGACAACCTGACGTTGTAGGGAAGGAGGACAGATTTTTTCTAGTTTTTAATTGGGGTGTGGGAGGGATGGGGAAATTTTCTATAAACTGTAACATTTTCTGCTGAGGGTGGAGTGTCCCATCCTTTTAATCAAGGTGATTGTGATTTTTGACTAATAAAAAGGACTTTGTAATTGTGGGGGAGCTGGCTTTTAAGGAAGGGGATAACATATTAATTGATTTCTGCCCTCTCATGTCCCTTGTCCAGCCTCTTTCATAACCTGGCATGAAACTATTCTCCAAGCATAGCTTTAGTGCAAGGGCAGAAACTGTGGGTTAAGTATTTTCCCAGAAGTGAATTTTCGCTTCCAAGGATGGGATAAAAGGCGTTAATCATCCATGCTTCTTATTCCCTATCCTTTGGCCATCTCTACCACCCAAGGGATTGAGGAATTTGTCCCAAAGGCTAGGTCAGAATTAAAACCAGAAACTTTAATTTCCAAATACATTGAGCAAAAAAAATTATAACTTTAACAGCAATTCCTTTTCCTAAGGTGAGATCCTATAGTGTATTTAGGGAAAGGGACATAAAGGTGGGAGAGAGGGACTTGGGGGCACATCCCAAACTTTCCCTACAACTAAACACAATTTGTTCTCTGCATAATCAACACAGGGACCTCCTGATCTCAGGCATGTTTTGAGACTCTGAAGGCTTGCTCTCTTGAGAGCCTGGGTTCATATGTCAGGGGTGTCTGGAGGAAAGGGGATGTCTACCCTCTACTCTTACAGGATTTCCTGGCTCCCTGATAGGCATGAAGTGAAGGTATGCACATCCATGGTATCTTGATAGGTAGTCTATGCCTCAGTGGTGGCTCGTGCTGAGGTAAAGACCACACTCTTCCGATTTTCCAGCCTCTTCTTCCTGGAAAAGGGAATGGTTCATCAGAATGACAAGTGTCCTAAGTGAAGCAGATTAGAGGTGGATTAAGAGACTGCTTTTTTTTTTTTTTTTTTTTTTTTTTAAGAGACAGAGTCTCACAGCAACCTCCAGCTCCTGGGCTTAGGTGATTCTCCTGCCTCAGCCTCCCGAGAAGCTGGGACTACAGGCACCCGCCACAATGCCTGGCTATTTTGTTGTTGCAGTTTGGCCTGGGGCCGGTTTGAACCCACCACCCTTGGTATATGGGGCCAGCGCCCTACTCACTGAGCCAGAGGTGCTGCCCAAGAGCCTGCTTTTTAATAGAAGACAAAGGACTAGATGAAGGAAAAGTAGGACCTCACCGAATCTTTCTAGCGATGAAATAGGCAGCTAGCAGAAGGCAGAGACAGCCAGCCAAGATTCCCACACCCAGACTCAGTATTTCACCTGGGAGAGGGAAAGTAGGAGGTGTCAGCTGAGGACTAACAGATATTGAGCCTTTCCTCCATTTACTGAGAGCCTTCCCAGTACCTGGGTAGGGCTGTCTTACCTGTGGTGTACAAGGATCCCACTGTAAGGTAAGAGAACTTGGGTCAGTGAGACTTCAGATCCCCATCCAGCTAAAAGCAACACTGCTTCTATGGGAAGATCACCTTTGGCACCTGCGGGTGGGGCCTGTTTCCCAGTATAAGTGAGTCCAGATAAAACCCTTGCCCTTTTCCTTCCCAGGGGCTTCCTAGTTCCTGCTCTGGAGTTCCTCAGTTTCCCATCTCCTGAGCCTTGCAGTCACCTTGGACAAAAGAAGCAAAGACTGTGCGCTGATTGAGAGGCTGAGGGGCACGGTAGTTCTGTGCCAGGAGGTTGGAGGGCTCTTCTGTGGAGAACAATGTCTCCTGGAGCATTTCCAGCTGAGGAGTAGAAGAGTGGGAAAAGTGCCACTTTGGGGAGTGGGAAAGGGTCTGAAGTTACAACTATGTCTTTCCCTCACCCTGCCACCACTTACCTGCCCCCTTGAAATCTGGACCCTTCCACTGAAGACTGTCCAGAGTACACTCTGGTAGCAGGGGGGAGTGGTGAGCGAGCCATTGTAACGGAAGAACTGCCCAAGCTGTGTGGGGAGCAGCTCCTTCACGTTGAAGGGAGGCACAGAGGTCTTCTGATCTGGGGAGAACAGAGTGGGACTTGTCTTCCTCTCATTGCACCCTCACTTACTGAGATAGCTCCCAGAAGTTAACCTCCCCAGCCCTAACTCATTGCCTCATCTCAAGGCTTCTTAAGTCAATTTTGAGAGTTTTCTTTAAAGTCTACTCTCATTGACTCCTGCTATAGGTTTTTAGGCTCACCTTTATGCCTGATTTCATGCAAGTGACTCAGAATATGTTCATAAGCTATATTCTTAGTCTCACCCACCTGCAAAGGGAGAGAGTTTGGAATGAGTCCACGTTTGGAATAAAACATTCATGTCACAGAATAAATAGGGTGGGTTGCTGTCTGCCTTGAGAGGCAGGCCAGCAACAGAATACGTCTGAGTGCTGGAGAAAGACCTAGAAGGAATTGAGGGCCACTGACCTCAATAAGGATGCCCAGGACAGCCAGGCCCTGAGGCCTCTGAGCAGCTTCAGTCAAGCTGTTATAGGAATCGGAGTCATAATGTACAATATGGAGCTGAGAGAAAGGAGAGGAAATGGAATCACTTAATGTTTCTTTCCCCAGCCCCTTCAGGGCCTTAACCCTTGAAGCTGCCACCACTACCACCACCCTTCTGTCAGTCTCTCCAAGGTTGGCCTATTCCCCCCAGTATGACTCATCCCAATGTGTTCAGATCCTTCCCTTCCCAGGATTGACCATCCCTGTAATCGTGTCTTTGTTTTCCTGGTACCTCTGCAGCTGTGGCTTCACTGTTGATCTGGTGTTCTGACCCCCCTAGAGATCCTTTCTGACCCCAGTGCAGGTGGAGTTGGACAGCTACATATTTTCGGGGAAGTCCACCCAGATACAGGGTAGGAGGCAGAGAGAGTTGCACTGTGAGGAAGAGAGCAACCAGGATTGGCAGAGGAATGTGGGCACATTCCCAGCCGTGGTTTGCCTCCTGGGAGACAAAGCTCTCTTCTAATTTCCTCCCCCTGTAGTACCCAGTTCTTCCCATAGGACAATGCTTTTCTGGCATAGCTCCTCTTTTCTCAGTGAAAATCAAGTCACTGCTATAATACTAAACTACCAAGTGAGTTTGATCATAGACATTTCAATTCCCACTTTGGCTGCAGGGAGTCTGATCTCCATTCTCATATCAAAATTCATGGATGAAGCTTTCTGATTATTCACAAGTTACAAGACTACTTTCTTTGAGACAGTGTTTCACTATGTCACCCTCAGTAGAGTCCGATAGCGTCACAACTCACAGCAACGTCAAACTCTTGGGCTTAAGCAATTCTCTTGCCTCGGTCCCCCAACTAGCTGGGACTACAGGCACCTGCCACAATGCCTGGCTATTTTTTGGTTGTAGTAGTCGTCGTTTGGCAGGCCTGGGCTGGGTTCAGACCCGCCAGCCCCAGTGTACGTGGCCAGCATCCTAGCTGCTGAGATGTAGGTGCCGAGCTGAGAGACTACTGTCCCCCGAGTCCTAAGATTTTTAACTGGAACCTACAACTCCTCGAAACCTGAGCTTTTACCTGTATGGCCGTTATTGTGCAGGTCCAAAGGCTCCGTGCCAGGCTGGTCATATCCATGGGGCTGGAGAGGAGGCAACTCAGGGTCAAATGTCACACTGTCTGTCTGGATGTCAATGGGGGATTGGGCATTGCTTCCACACTCAGGGTAAGAGGCTGGCCAATGGTCCTGACCATGTGGGCCTGGTGGGAGTTACCAAGGTCATTGGTCCTGCCCTCCAGCTCCAACCTTTCAAGACCCACCTCCCAAACCGAATTATACATCTGTGTGGAGGTAGAAATTCCTTTCACTCCAGCCCTTCAAGACCCCAGTTGTGCAGGGCTGGGTGAGGTAGGAGTTCTGGCTGGACTTGATGCTGTAATTTATTCCTGGAGATAGTAATGATTCCCCAACTATTCTGATAGGGGAGTGGTGTCTCTTTTACTTACCTGTAGTTTAAGGATGAGAAAACTAAATGAAGGGAAGATGGAATGGACAGAAAGCTTAAATACCCAGAGAGGTTGGATTAGAGAGAAGTAGAAAAATGGGAAGAAGTAAAATAATCCTGGATAGATAGGGTCTCCATGTGGCCTCCTATGAATTGGCCTTGTGAATCAGATATCCTGACTTTGCATCATTCACTTCTTGCTCTCACACAAACTTGTGACCTTGACCTTGCGTGGATGCTGGAGTTCAGTTAAATCATTATATCAACAGTTCACAGGAATTGGGTTCCACCTCCCCTGGGGTCAAAGATTATCCTGCCAGACTCTTTCTCACTCCTGACCTCCAGCTCTGTCCCAATTCCAGGTGCAGGTTGTAGGTAGGACCAATTAGGATGGAAAGAAGCAGGAGACCAGGTAGTTAAGCTCAGAGTTCTTTTCCTCACCCAGTTTCTTTTTCACTGCAGCTCCCTCAATCCTACATGGATTTACTGAGGACTTAGGAGCCATATATGTGAAACTCAGGCCATGATGAGACCCAGAAGAGAGGATCTGGGGCAAGAAGCTGACGGAAACCTCCTTTCTACCCACAGGACACATATTCCTGCCAGTGAGGAGAGCCCAGTGAAAGGGGAGTCAGTAGGCCTCAAGTTCTGCTCTCACCCTCGTATGTCCAGTGTTGACCTGCAAGGCAGAAAGGTTTGGGTTATAGCCAGCAGCCTGGGGCAGGGCCCTGGCCTCCACTCTTCTCCCCTCCTTTGGAAGGCCAGGCTCCACCTCCCTGTTGCTCTCCCTCCTCCCTCTACTCCAACACTTCCCAAAGAAAGCCCTGAAACTGGATACCTCAGTGGAAAGGTGGGGGCGGGGAGGGGCTGTTTAAAATCACCAGCCAGGCTGTGCTGGGCTTACTAAAGGACAAAGGGGGAGGAGGAATGAAGAGAGAGAAAGCTGAGAGACTAAAATTAACCTGGATTCAAGTGTGCTGTTGGCTCGGCCCTTAATTTTTTTAACTTTGTGCGGAGTCAATCTAACACTTAGAAAATAGGGGTGGGGCGAGGGTGTGGGCAGAAGGTTTAGAGGAAAGGGACTAGGAAGAGGAAAGCGTAAAGAAATTCAAAGAAATTCAGAGAGCATGTGCCCAAATGGTGCGTGTGTGCGTGTGTGTGTGTGGGGGGGGTGGGGGCGGGGGGTACTACTGATGGGAGAAGTAGGGATTACTCCTTTGCTTTGAAGCATCATATGAATCAAGCCACTGAGTCACTTTCTGGTCCCAGTTACTCTACAGGAAACTCCCCATCACCATGAGCCTCTGTTCCCTACATTCCTAGATGGCAGGGCGGGAGTCAGGGAAGGGTCTTCTCTAGACTGAGAGTGGTGGGTGGGCACAGGCAGCCAGGCTAGCAGGGACAGGATGAAAGTGAAGCATTGTGTGTAGAAAAGGGAGCTGCCAGCTGAGTCACATGCCAGGCTTTTGTTCAGTTTTGTCTCTGGTGGAGAGGCTGGGGGGTCTGCCTGTTTAACCCCTACCCAGGGCCAACCTGCTTCAAGAACAGGGAGGTTGGCTCGGCACCTATAGCTCAACTGGCTAAGGCGCCAGCCACAGACACCTAAGGTGGCGGGTTCGAATCCCCAGCCGGGACCTGCCAAAACAACAATGATGGCTGCAACCAAAAAAAAAAAATAGC